ACACCTGAAACTGGTGATCAGCAGCTTCCCAATAAGATCTCAGGAGTTGGGCGAGGGGGCTTAAGCATGGACACTAAAATGCAAAATGGCAGATGACCTTCCTCTGGGAACAATGGACTGGGAAGGACAAAACACCTTGAGTGAGCATTTGTACAACTAGGGTAAACGCACTGCACATGCAGCCCCACCCAAGTGCTGACAGGCCACCAGGCATGTGGACAGCCCACTCCAAGAGAAGAATCAGGGGAGAAGGGACGCAAGACCCTGGAACTATGCCAACATATAAAACCCCAGGTCAGAGGTCAAACAGCCCACAGGATCTCTCAGGTCAACTCCTCGGCCCTCTTCCAAGTATACTTTACTTCCTTTCATTCCTGCTCTAAAGCTCTTTAATAAACTTTCACTCCTGCTCTAAAACTTGCCTCTCACTCCACCTTATGCCCCTCAGTTGAATTCTTTCTTCTGAGGAAGCAAGAACTGAGCTTGCTGCAGACATATAGATTCAGCGCTAACATTCCCATCTCCTCACTTGGCTGCTCTGTGATCGTAAACTCTCTGCTGCAAACTCTGCTGTCTCGTTGTATTGGTCTGTTGTTATGCAGCAGGCATATGAACCTGTTGGACCTATCAGACAAAGATCTACAAGATACACTAAAATTTTTAAAATGAGAAATAGCGCATATAGTATAACAAAAGGGGAGAATAAGAATATATGTATGGTCTGGGCACAGTGGCACACACTTGTAATCCCAGCCCTTTTGGAGGCTGAGGCAAGTGGATCACCTGAGGTCAGGATTTTGAGACCAGCTTGGCCAACACGGTGAAACCTCGTTTCTACCAAAAATACAAAAATTAGCCAGGCATGGTGGTGCACGTGTGTAATCCCAGCTACTGGGGAAGCTGAGGCACGAGAATGACTTTAACCTGAGAGGCAGAGGTTGCAGTGAGCCAAAATCATGCCACTGCACTCTAGCCTAGGCAACAGTGAGACTCTATCTCAAAAAAACACAAAGAAATATACTTGGGGGAAGAGGGAAAATATACTTCTGTAGATATTTGCTTGTATTTGCATACAGAAAATCTGGGGATACACAAGAAACAGAAAATTCATAATCAAGGGGCAAGGGTAGAGCAAGACTTTTCTTTATTTTTCTTTTTTTTTTCTTTTTCTTTTTTTTTTTTTTTGAGACAGAGTCTCGCTCTGTTGCCAGACTGCAATGCAGTGATGTGATCTCAGCTCACTGCAATCTTCACCTCTCGGGTTCAAGTGATTCTCCTGTCTCTGCCACCCAAGTAGCTGGGATTACAGGAGTGCGCCACCACACCTGGCTAATTTTGGATTTTTAGTAGAGACAAGGTTTCACCATGTTGGCCCAGATGGTCTCAATCTCCTGACCTTGTGATCCTTCCGCCTCGGCCTCCCAAAATGTTGGGATTACAGGCGTGAGCCACCGCGCCCAGCCCAACTTTTCATGATAAATATAACTTGTTTATTTTGAGATTTGAATAGTGACTATATTACATAATAGAAATTTTTAATGATAAAAATATAGATATTGGGCCAGGCACAGTGGTTCATGCCTGTAATCACCTAAGGTCAGGAGTTTGAGACCAGCCTGGCCAACACGGTGAAGCCCCGTCTCTATGCCTCTACTAAAAATACAAAAATTAGCTGGGTATGGTGGCAGGTGCCTAATCCCAGATACTGAAGAGGCTGAAGCACGAGAATCACTTGAACCCAGGAGGTAGAGGTTGTAATGAGCCAAGACAACAGAGCGAGACTCCATTTCAAAAAATAAATATATTTTGAACATCAGTGAAAATGTAAAATTTAAAGGAATAGTTACCTCACAGAAGCAATGAAAAGAGGCTAAATCTAAAGTAGTCAGTATTACTCGGGAGGTTGAGGCAGTAGAATGGCTTAAACCTGGGAGGTGGAGGTTGCAGTGAGCTGAGATCACTCCCCTGCACTCCAGCCTGGGCAACAGAAGACTGTGTCTCAAAAAAAAAAAAAAAAAGTAACAATTATAAAACTTTTTCTTTTGAGACAGGATCTCATTCCATTAACTCAGGATGGAATGCAGTGGTGCAATCACAGCTCATGCAGCCTTGACCTCCTGGGCTCAAGTGATCCTCCCACCTCAGCCTCCTAAGTAGCTAGGACCACAGGCACACGCCACCACACCAGCAAATTTTTTGTATTTTTGTAGAGATGACGTTTCACCATGTTGCCCAGGTTGGTTTCAAATTCCAGAGCTCAAACAATCCACCTGCCCCAGCCTCCTAAAGTGTTAAGTCACTGTGCCTGGCCAATACCATAAACGACAACAACAACAAAACCACCAAAGCATTTTACTAGTCAGAGAATATTACCAACCATCTTTATTTATCTATATTTATTTAATTTAGCTGGGGGTCTCACTATGTTGCCCAGGCTGGTCTTCAATGCCTGGACTCATGCAATCTTACTGCTTTGGCTTCCCAAAGTGCCGGGATTACAGGTGTGAGCCACCACGCCTGGCCCAACCGTCTTTAATTTGGCAGTTTAGGCCTTCCAGAAATCCATTTCTTCTACCTTCCATTCTTTTTATTACATAAATAATTGATGATAACGTATAAAGAAAAAAAGGCCGGGTGAGGTAGTTCACACTTGTAATCCCAGCACTTTGAGAGACTGAGGCAGGTGGATCACCTGAGGTTGGGAGTTCGAGACCAGCCTGACAAACATGGAGAAACCCTGTCTCTACTAAAAACACACAATTAGACGGGCGTGGTGGTGCATGCCTGTAATCCCAGCTACTTGGGAGGCAGAGACAGGAGAATCACTTGAATCCAGGAGACGGAGGTTGTGGTGAGCCAAGATCACACCATTGTACTCCAGCCTGGGCAACAAGAGCGAAACTCTGTCTCAAAAACAAAAAACAAAAAACAAAGTAAAGAAAAAAAGTGTGTGTTTCCCAAATTCCAAATTAGTTGTGCACACTTCCCCCATGTAAACATAGACATGTAAGAAATGTATAAATATTTTTTGTAAATGGTTATACTTACATTGTTATATAATTTGTATTTTTTGAACCAGTTGTGAATCGTTTCCTTCTTAGCAAATGATTCACCCAATTACGACTATTGAATATTATTATCATTGAGACAGATCTTTACCTGTTGCCCAGGTGCAGTGCAGTGGCCATCACAGCTCACTGCAACCTTGAAGTCTTGGACTCAAGTGATTCTCCTGCCTCAGCCTTCCAAGTAGCTGGGACTACAGGCATGTGCTACCATGCACAGCTAATTTTTAAAATTTCTTTTGTAGAGGCAAGGGTCTCACTCTGTTTCTCAGGCTGGCCTGGAACTCCTGGCCTCAAGCAATCCTCCTGCTTCGGCCTCCCGGCTTACAGGCATGAGCCACCATGATAGGTTCCAAATTATAATTTTTAATGGCTACATCTTTTCCTTAATATGAATGCATCATATTTTATTGGACTCCCTACTTTGAAATATGTAGGAATTTTCAGTGTTTACTATGACAAATAGCACTGTGATAAAAAAAAATAGATAAATAAAAAATTTGTGTAGTCAAATTCACATTTGCTATTGATTTTTTTTTTTAATTTTTAGAGACATGGTCTCGCTATGTTGCCCAGGCTGGTCTGGAACTCCTGGCCTCAAGCAATCCTCCTGCCTCAGCCTCCCAAAGTCCTGGGATTACAGGCGTGAGCCACTGTGACCAGCAGCTATTGATTTTTTTCCCTTTTGTTTTCTTCTTTCTTCTTCTTCCTCTTCTTTCTCTTCTTTCTACTTCTTCTTTTTGAGACTGAGTCTTGCTCTATATCGCCCAGGTGGAGTGCAGTGGAGTGATCTCGGCCCACTGCAACTTTAGCCACTGAGGTTCAAGCGATTCTCATGCCTCAGCCTCCTAAGTAGCTGGCATTACAGGTGTGCGCCACCATACCCAGCTAATTTTTTGCATTTTTAGTAGAGACGGGGTTTCACCATGTTGGCCAGGCTGGTCTCGAATGCCTGATCCCAGGTGATCCACCCGCCTAGGCCTCCCAAAGTGCTGAGATTACGAGCCTGAGTCACTGCGCCGGACAATTATTTTTTGTAAGAATTAAAAAATAATAATAATGTTGCTTTGAATTTTTTTTTTTGGAGACAGAGTCTTCGCTTTGTTTCTAGGCTGGAGTACAGTGGCGCGATCCTGCCTCACTGCAACTTCTGTTTCCGGGTTTCAAGCAATTCTCCTGCTTCAACCTCCCGAATAGCTGGGAGTACAGGCACGCACCACCACGCCTGGCCAATTTTTTTGTATTTTTCGTAGAGACGAGGTTTCACCACGTTGGCCAGGATGGTCTCAATCTCCTAACCTGATAATAAGCCCGCCTCAGCCTCCCAGTGTTGAGATTACAGGCGTGAGCCACCGCGCCCAGACTGCTTTGAAATTTTTTATTTATGAGTAGCTCTTTTGGTTAAAACTTGGCTATGTTTTCTCGGGAGTGATCCTGAGTTAGAGAATTTTGGAAAAGTGAGAAAATCTAATTAAAAACATTTTCAAATGCTTATTAAATGTAACAAAAGAGAAATCACAGGATCCATAAAGAGCGCTAGCCTGAAAACTGTGCGGTTTTTGCTGCAGTAATTCCTGGGCGCCGGCATCGCTCATACTCTACTCTCAGAATTACACCGAGAGGGGTTGCGAACCGCCGCCTGCAGCTCTCGGTGCGGTCCGGAGGTACCCAGACGGCGGACTCTCTCCGGCCACAGCCCGGAAGCAGACGAGAATCCTAGCAGCGCCGCACCGGATGTATGTGTGGAAATGACTGCAGTCAGCTCACGACCGATTGGTTCTCCCGAGTGGACCTAAGCCTGTTTTCACCTGCCACTGGCCGCGTGGTTTGTCTATTTGAATAGTCCCCGCCCTCTGGAGAAGCCGGGTCCCGAAGCTTCACTTCTTCTTCATTACTATTGGTCTGTTTTTCAGTCCATCTTCTTCCTATACCTGTGGATTGGTCCTCAGGGCTCGGAACCCTCCCTCCCTCGCTCCCGGCTTAGAGGACAGCGGGGAAGGCGGGTGGTGAGGCAGGGGGCCTGAAGCGGCGGTACTGGTGCTGGCGGCGGCAGCTGAGGTCTTGGCCGAAGCCGCACGGTGAGTCTAAGGCCTGCCACGACCCTTCTAAGGCGGTGTAATGTCCAGACCCACGGCCAGCCTGCTTGTGGGGGGTCCAGGGGAAGCCGCCCGTCTGGGACGTGGTATCCCCACACTGCTGGCCCCAAGACCTGGGCACCGTCTGAGGCCTTGATTCCCACGCCTCGAGGCAACGCCCACCTCCCCGGGACTCCCAAGAGGCCCCCGGACCCTTCGTCCCGCGGTACGTCTCAGGCGCCCGAAGGCCAGCCCATCAGCTCTGGTACTGCCCTTCGGGTCTTTTGCCCGTCACAGCACCCTTTCTTCTGAGCCACCCACAGAAATTGTGGCTCTCTGCCCCAGGGAACACCAGCGTCAGTATCAGCCCCTCGTTCTCCGCCGTGGAGACCTCTCAGGGACCCAGTCCCCATAACTGAGCTCGGTTACATCGTTGGGGCACATTCTCTCTCCCTCTCCGCCACCCCCATCCCTGTTTCCCCCATCCAACTTTAACTCCCTTAAGCCCTATCAAGACCCTTAGGATATTTGACTTCAAATATCCTAAGTTTAATTGGAGCAGATGGCCTGTGGGCCTTAGACCATATAAAGATACACTGATTCTTTCCTGAGAATAGAAATCCCTTGCCAGCTTCCTTCCCCCCTTACACACACACACACACACACACACACACACAACTGGAGTAGTTTTCTTAGTAAGGATTCTTAAGTTTCCTCTCCCCTAAAGGGTGACATTTTCTTCTGCTGTCTTTTTCTTGGCACTGGAGTATTTGAAAGCTTTTCAAAACCACTATTTCTGTTTTTTCCTCTGTGTCTTACAAATTCGTTCAAAAATAAGAATTTTGAGAAATGGTTTTGTAGTATAAGCCGGACATACTTAGGATAGGTGTATGTTACTTCAGAGCAGTGTAGGCCGAGCCCTGTTAAGGCCACTGTGTTGTAGTTGCCTGATTTTGTATTTCCCCCTGAATTGTAAGCTCACTGAGGGAAGGAACAGTACATGATTGAGGAATGAGGGAATGATCTCAGGGACTAATTGGTTTCTTTTCACTTACATTTGAAGTGCTAATCTTCTATAGAACTGCATTGTTCGATACAAGAATTATCAGCCACATGTGGCTGTAGAGCACTTGAAATGTGACTCGTCCAGGCCAGGCATGGTGGCTCATACCTGTAATCCCAGCACTTGGGAGGCCAAGGTGGGCGGATCACCTGAGGTGAGGAATTTGAGTCCAGCCTAGCCAACATGGTAAAACCCCATCTCTAATAAAAATACAAAAAAATTAGTGGGGCATGGTGGTGGGCGCCTATAGTCCCAGCTACTCAGGAGGCTGAGGCAGGAGAATCATTTGAACTGGGGAGGTGGAGGTTACAGTGAGCTGAGATCACGCCACTGTACTCCAGCCTGGGTGACAGAGCAAGACTCCTTCTCAAAAAAAAAAAAAAAAAGTAACTAGTCCAAATTGACATTGTTTAAGAGTAGAGTGCACATGCAATTTTGAAGACTCACTACAAAAAAAGAATGGACACTATATCAATTTTTAAAAATATTGATAACATGTTGAAATGATATTTTGGATATATTGGTTTAATTAATTTCACCTGTTTCTTTTCACCTTTGAAAATATGGCTACCAGCAGCTTTAATACTACATTTGTGGATCATTTTATTTCCTTTTTCTTTCTTTCATTTTTTTTTTTTTTGTTGTTGTTGTTGTTGAGGTGGAGTTTTGCTCTTGTTGCCCAGGCTGGAGTGCAATGGCGTAATCTCAGTGTACTGCAACCTCTGCCTCCCAGGTTCAAGCAGTTCTCCTGCCTCAGCCTCCCAAGTAGCTGGGATTACAGGCACGCACTGCCACACCCAGCTAACTTTGTTTTTTTTTTTTGAGACGGAGTTTCACTCTTGTTACCCAGGCTGGAGTGCAATGGCGCGATCTTGGCTCATCACAACCTCCGCCTCCTGGGTTCAGGCAATTCTCCTGCCTCAGCCTCCTGAGTCGCTGGGATTACAGGCACACGCCACCATGCCCAGCTAATTTTTTGTATTTTTAGTAGAGACGGGGTTTCACCATGTTGACCAGGATGGTCTCGATCTCTTGACCTCGTGATCCACCCGCCTCGGCCTCCCACAGTGCTGGGATTACAGGCTTGAGCCACCGCGCCCGGCCAACTTTGTATTTTTAATAGAGATGGGGTTTCGCCATGTTGCCCAGGCTGGTCTTGAACTCCTGACCTCAGGTGATCCACCTGCCTTGGCTTCCCAAAGTAGGGGGATAACAGGCATGAGCCACTGTGCCTGGCCTGTATTTCCATTAGACAATGCCGCTGTAGAATAATAATCTCCCTTTTTAGACTGAACTTGAGGAAAGGGGCAGTCTTAGTCATTTTTAATTCTTTCCCTACCTCCCCACATTTGTTACTTGGCACTGTGTCATGTACATAGTAGTAGTAGTAATAATAATAGTTTACAATTAATAAGAACTCAGTATATGCCCTGCACTGTCTTAAACACTTTTTAACATGTATTAACTGATTTAGCCTTCACATCCACCCATGAACTAGGTACTATTGTCTTCCTATTGTAGTTGAAGAAACTGAGACATTTTGAGTGTCTTTCTCAAGGTATGTGACTTTATTTTTGGTTTTTTTGTTTGTTTGTTTTTGTTTTGAGACAGTGCACTGGCGGGATCTCGGCTGACTGCAACCTCTGCCTCCCAGTTCAGGTGATTCTCCTGCCTCAGCCTCCTGTGTAGCTAGGATTACAGGTGCACGCCATCACACCCAGCTAATTTTTGTATTTTTAGTGGAGATGAGGTTTCACCATGTTGGCCAGGCTGGTCTCGAACTCCTGACCTCAGGTAATCCTCCCAACTCAGCTTCCCACAGTGCTCAAGGTATATAACGAAAGGATTCAAATCCAGGTAGGCTAGCTCCATAGCCCACAATTTGATCCTCCCTACTACACTGCCTCTTTTATACATCAGTCATTGTTGAATGAATCTAGGCTTTCTAAATCTTCCTCCAAAAGATCTCTCAATGTTTCTAGAATCCCTACCTGACAAGGACTAGGGGGAGATCTGTGTTGAGTTACCAGGGCCATACATAAATTTACTGCCATACTTTCTTAACCAGAATATTAAAGGAAACTTCTCTCTAAGGAACCTCAGGGCAAGATGCTTGGAACTGGACCTGCCGCCGCCACCACCACTGCCACCACATCTAGCAATGTGAGTGTTCTGCAGCAGTTTGCCAGTGGCCTGAAGAGCCGGAATGAGGAGACCAGGGCCAAAGCTGCCAAGGAGCTCCAGCACTATGTCACCATGGAGCTCCGAGAGGTGGGCTTCTGAGATTTGGGGCCAGCCATTGTGGGATGTTTGCGCTAAATGTACCATCACTGGTTTAGATTTTTTTGGACAGCTAAGTAAGGATTTGGAAAATAGAGATTATTTTAGAAAGGTTCCCAACCTCTTACATTCATAAAACATGCAGGTTCATTTGCAGCACTTGCACATTTCTGTGGCATTTTTCTTGTTTGTGGTCACATTTGAGGGGCCAGAATAGACTTAGCTGTTTCTTTTAACTTTTTCTTTTTTCCTAAGCACATATCACACCGTCAGTGCTTTCTGTCTGATAACAGTGATTGGGATGGGTTTGGAGAGTTGAGAGCTAGGAGATTTCTTCTTTTTCCTTTTAGACAGAGTTTTACTCTTGTTACCCAGGCTGGAGTGCAATGACATGATGTCAGCTCACCGCAACCCCTGCCTCCCAGGTTCAAGCAATTCTTCTGCCTCAGCCTCCTGAGTAGCTGGGGTTACAGGCACGTGCCACTATGCCCGGCTAATTTTTGTATTTTTAGTAGAAACGGGGTTTTTCCATGTTGGTCAGGCTGGTCTCGAACCCCTGACCTCAAGTGATCCACCCTCCTCAGCCTCCCAAAGTGCTGGGATTACAGGCATGAGCCACCATGCCTGGCCCCCGGGGCTTTCTATCTAAATAGAGACCAGACTTGAAGTCAGAAACAGTATCTTGTTTTTATCCTTGTATCCCTGGTACTAGAAAGAACCTAGGACAAGACATTTTCTGCCGCAGAGTAGATACCCAATAAGTATTTGTTAAATAATCAGATGATTGCAAGTTCAGGTGCTCTACAGTGTATTCCTATAGAAATGGCAGTAGCTTGTCTTCTTTGGTTTGAACTATACTACCTGCCTCTCAGGATCTAATCTGTAGATGTCAGCCCGCTCCCACCACCACAGTCAGAGAATTATTAGAAATTGTTCTGATTACATCTTCTTTTGCAGATGAGTCAAGAGGAGTCTACTCGCTTCTATGACCAGCTGAACCATCACATTTATGAATTGGTTTCCAGCTCAGATGCCAATGAGAGGAAAGGTGGCATCTTGGCCATAGGTAAGGACAGAGTCTCTGGTCACAAAAAACAGCACACTCACCTTTGTGTCCACTGCACCCTGTGTCTGCATTTATTGGATGCTAGTTCATATTTGCTTAATGAAATTTAAGAAGCCCGTGGCTTTTAATTGTAGCAGCAGTCCTGGGCTGCAGGCAAACGTATTTTTAGATGTGGAAGTAGAGCCTCAGAACCACTGAGTGACTTTTCAGACAGTTTACCAGAGCTGAGACTAGAAGCCAGCTTTCTTTTTGTTTTTTTTCCCCTCGCTCTGTTGCCCAGGCTGGAGTGCAGTGGCGTGATCTCGGCTCACTGCAACCTCTGCCTCCTGGGTTCAAGTGATTCTCCTGCCTCAGCTTCCTGAGTAGCTGGGACTATAGGCATGTGCCACTGTGCCTGGAGAGCCCAACTTTCTTTCCACTCCTTCATGTTGCCTTTTACAGGTTCTGGTTCCTCAATAGAGCAGGGTTTCTGATAGTGGGGCTCACAGATGGAAAAGTGGAATCAGTATAGTTAATAAAAGGCAGGTCATCTTTTTTTTTTTTTTTTTGAGATGGAGTCTCACTCTGTCTGAAGTGCAGTAGTGCAATCTTGGCTCACTGCGACTTCCGCCTCCTGGTTTCAAATGATTCTCGTGCCTCAGCCTCTTGAGTAGCTGGGATTACAGGCCTCTGCCACCATGACCGGCTAATGTTTGTATTTTTAGTAGAGATGGGGTTTCACCATGTTGGTCAGGCTGGTCCTGAACTCCTGACCTCACGTGATCCACCCGCCTCGGCCTCCCAAAGTGCCGGGATTACAGGCGTGAGTCACTGCACCCAGCCAGGCAGCTTATTTTTAACTTCTAAGGACTGGTCATCAGTCCTATGAATTATTATTCAGTCCCAGTTGTTTTCTCTTTTTTTTGGGGGGGGTGGTGGCAGTTACCTACACTAGCCTGAGATTATTTTGCTTTATGTAAGTATTTCTGGCACAAGTATTAAATATCTGGATTAAAATGAAAATTGTCTGCGTTCTTGCCATCTAGAAATGTACTCAAAGTAGAATGGAGGGATCACTTGCCAGCTTTTAGTTTAGGCTGTATGCTTTTTTGGCCAGCATAGGCCCTGTCATCACCTTTTGCCTTCCTCTCTTTTCTAGCCAGCCTCATAGGAGTGGAAGGTGGGAATGCCACCCGAATTGGCAGATTTGCCAACTATCTTCGGAACCTCCTCCCCTCCAATGACCCAGTTGTCATGGAAATGGCATCCAAGGCCATTGGCCGCCTTGCCATGGCAGGGGACACTTTCACTGCCGAGTATGTGGAATTTGAGGTGAAGCGAGCCCTGGAATGGCTGGGTGCTGACCGCAATGAGGGCCGGAGACACGCAGCTGTGAGTGCCTGCCGGGAGGAGCACAGCCAGGCCTGGGGAATGATGGTGTCATGGTGGGGTCCTTTGCTTCCTTCTGAGGCTTATCCCTGAAAAAGGCTTGTCAGAAGGCTAGGATTCCAGGCTGTGAGATGGGGTAGAGTCTGTGAGAGAGAATTGCTGGGCGTGGTGGCTTACGCCTATAATCCCAGCACTTTGGGAGGCGGAGGCAGGCAGATCAACTTGAGGCCAGAGGTTTGAGATGAGTCTGGCCAGCATGGTGAAACCCCGTCTTTATTAAAAAAAAAAAAAAAAAAAAAAAAGAGAGAGAGAGAATCTAGTAGTGGTGTGGTGGGAATCAGAAGCATCAGCTGCATACTTTCCAGTCTGCTCCCCGTTAGAGGAGGCAGTACTGTGAGGAGGGAGCATGGTACCAGGAGAGGGACACACACTTGGACCCTGGCTCAAGTCTTGGCTCTCCAGCTTCCTAGCTCTGTAACCTAGGGCAGCTTTTGACCTTCAGTTTCTTCCTCTGTCAAATAAAAATAATAAGATTAAACATTAAACAGGATTATCCATTCAATAAATAATTATTACATACCTGCTGTATTCCAGGTAGTGTTCTAGGCTATTGGTATAGTGGTATAGAAAGCATAAAACACATCTGCGCTTCCAGAGCTTATGTTCAAACGTTACTAGCAGTCTTTGTAAACAACCTAGGATAGTGAACACTGAGATGTTTCCTCAGTTTTGCTTTCCTTCCTCTGTCCCCAGAATTTCCTAGCTAGAGACTGAGCAAGCCTTTTCTGTTCCTAGTGTATGGCTCTAAGATGATAAGAGACTGCACTCCCGAGAGAACAAAACTCTGGTACCTATGAGAGTTCTCAGTTTGCCTTTTTCTCCAGGTCCTGGTTCTCCGTGAGCTGGCCATCAGCGTCCCTACCTTCTTCTTCCAGCAAGTGCAGCCCTTCTTTGACAACATTTTTGTGGCCGTGTGGGACCCCAAACAGGCCATCCGTGAGGGAGCTGTAGCCGCCCTTCGTGCCTGTCTGATTCTCACCACCCAGCGTGAGCCGAAGGAGATGCAGAAGCCTCAATGGTACCGGGTGAGGAGATTGCCCCCTTCCAGCCTCCAGCAAAGCACATCTACGTAGAGAATCACCTGGCCTAAAGGGCAGCCGTAGGCTTTGCCAGTCTTATGTTGGACATAGAGCTCTGAACATGGGTTGGAAGACCTGGGTTCCAGTCTTGGATTTGCTGCATGATCTTGGAGCAAGAATCACTTCTGTTTTGGTCTCAAATGAATTTTTTTTTTTTTTTGCTCTGTTGCCCAGGCTGGAGTGTAGTGGCGCAATCTTGGCTCACTACAACCTCCGCCTCTTGGGTTCAACCTCCGCCACCTCAGCCTCTTGAACAGCTAGGACTATAGGCATGCACCACCACGCCCAGATAATTTTTGTATTTTTGATACAGACAGCGTTTCGCCATGTTGGCCAGGCTTGTCTCGAATTCCTGACCTAAGGTGATCCATTTGCCTTGGCCTCCCAAAGTGCTGGAATTACAGGCATGAGCCACTGCACCTGGCCTCAAATGAACTTTTTTATGCTCAGTATGAATCAATAGTTACTTTATTGCATTTCATTAAAGCAAACATCTATTGATAGCCACCCTATTATTTTATATATGAGTAAGAATGCAAATATGCCAGTTAAACTGTGACTTGGTACCTTCTTACCAACAATTATAAGGACATCTCAACTGGGTGCTGTGGCTCACGCTTGTAATTCTAGCACTTTGGGAGGCCAAGGCAGGAGGATTGCTTGAGCTCAGGAGTTTGAGACCAGCCTGGGCAACATATGGGACCCCATCTCTACAAAAAAAAATAAAAATATTAGGTGGGCATGGTATTGCACACTGTGGTCCCAGCTATTTGGGAAGCTGAGGCGGGAGAATTGCTTGAGCCCAAGAGGTCAAGGCTGCAGTAGTCATGATCATGCCACTGCACTCCAGCCTTGGCAACAGAGTGAGACTCTGTCTCAAAAAAATTTTAAAAAAGACATCTCTTTTCAGAGATGTTAAAATATGGACAAATTGGTGTCTCAAAATCAGTCAAATACAAATGATACTAATTTAGAAAGTGCCAGTTCTCTCTGCTCTAGTATCATGAAGCCTGTGCTGATTGCTTCTGCAGAGGGAACTCATCAGTGAGTCTTATATTAGAAAAAGAGCTCTGAACATGGGTTGGGAGGCCTGGGTTCCAGTCCTGAGTTTGCTGTGTGATCTTGGACAAGTCACTGAAATTCTTTTTTTTTTTTTTTTTTGAGATGAAGTTTCACTCTGTCACCCAGGCTGGAATGTAGTGGGGCAATCTCGGCTCACTGCAACCTCTGCCTCCCAGGTTCAAGAGATTCTCCTGCCTCAGGCTCCCGAGTAACTGGGACTGCAGGTGCCCGCCACCACACCTGGCTAATTTTTTTTTTTTTTTTTTGTATTTTTATAGAGACAGGGTTTCACCGTGTTAGCCAGGATGGTCTTGATCTCCATGATCCACCTGTGTCGGCCTCCCATAGTGCTGGGAATTCAGGTGTGAGCCCCTGCACCTGGCCAAGTAACTTAAATTCTTTGAGCCTACGTTTTTAGCTGTTACGTAGGAATAATGATGGTATCTTCCTCAAAGGCTCATTATGAGACTTGAAGCTGGGGCTGGGCACAGTGGCTCACACCTGTAATCACAGCACTTTGGGAGGCTGAGGTGGGTGGATCATGAGATCAGGAGATTGAGCCAACCTGGTTAACATGGTGAAGCCTTGTCTCTAATACAAATACAAAATTTAGCCAGGTGTGGTGGTGTGTGCCTGTAATCTCAGCTACTTGGGAGGCTGAGGCAGGAGAATTACTTGAATCCAGGAGTTGGAGGTTTCAGAGAGCCAAGATCATACCGCTGCACTCCAGCCTGGGTGACAGAGCAAGACTCCATCCATCTCAAAAAAAAAAAAAAAAAAGAGAGAGAAAATTGAAGCTGAATTAAATAAAAGAGCTTGATCAGTTAGTTTTGTTGATAACTGGCACAAGGCACTGAGCAGGCGTGGTAACACCTCAGAACCCCCAGTATCGATGGGACGGGCCTGTATTCTTTCTGGCTTCAAACTCTGTCTCTAATGAAGGCATTCTTTCTCTTTACATAGCACACATTTGAAGAAGCAGAGAAGGGGTTTGATGAGACCTTGGCCAAAGAGAAGGGCATGAATCGGGATGATCGGATCCATGGAGCCTTGCTAATCCTTAACGAGCTGGTCCGAATCAGCAGCATGGAGGGAGAGGTAAGAAGCCTCTGCACAGGGGTGTCCAGGCTCCCTGTTTACCATTCTGTGAGCATAGCAAGGTGAGATCCGTGTCCTCATGGAGCTGACGTTTTGTGGCAGGAAACATAATAAACAAGTAAATAAGATAATTTCAGATAGCAGCAAGTCCTATGAAGAAAGGAAAACCAGAATAGGATAGAGTGGTGGGGAAGGGGTGAGTGTAGGGTCAGGGAAGGCCCTCCTTGAGATGGTGTTATTTGAGGGGGATCCACATGATACGAAGGAGCTACCTTGCAGTAGGCCGGGGGACTGTGTTCCAGGCTGAGGCTTTGAGGTGGGGGAGTATGAGAAATTGATGAAACAGAAGAAAGGGAAGTGTGGCTGGTATACTGGGAGGATGGGGGAGGGAAGGAGGGGCCAAATTAATAGGCCCATGGTTTGCAGTAAACACAAGCTTTTATTGTAGTTGCAGGGGTAGACAGTTGGAGGTGAGCACACAGGAATAATGTGAGGTCATGTGTTTCTAACAATCACTGACTGCTTATAGGGAAAAATGTGGGGAAAGGCAGGAATGAAGGCAGGGGACCAGTTAGGAGATGTGTGGGCTTGAGAAGGTAGGTTTAAAAGTGCATGGATTTTATTGGGGAAATGGCCTTCAAGAGAAAATGGGGAGGGAGCTGGAAGAACCATCAGACTACAATACACATCTGACCCTGAGTAAACAAGAGGGGAAAATATGGATAGAAGCATCCTAGTCTACGATGCAGGGCCACCGTGGGGTCCTCAAGCTAAAGTCGGCCATCAGAAAGGCCTGCATCTCCCTGGAGCAGGATGGCTTTAGCATCCCTACTGTGTTCTGTCATTGCCTGGGAGTAATGGGCAGCCTTTGCACAAACTTAGTGATGGGTTTCAGAGCAGCAGCTGGGGCCATTATACCCCTTATAGTTGGAGGTTGCATTTTCACAGCTGCCAGAGGAAGCTATTACAGTAGTCTGGGTGAGTGACAGTGGTGGCTTTGACTAGGAGTTGTGGTATGGATACTGAGTAGTAGTTGATTCAGGATATATTTGGGAGGTAAAGCTCCATCTGTGAGACTGGCTATTGAAAACTAGTGTAATTTTACTGCAGGGATTCCTGATTATAATAGACACAGTGATTGTTAATTATAATAGACATAGCTCTTAGCTAACAGCTGTACCTAGATGTGGGAGCAGCGCATGCAGCAGTGTACAGAAGCAGAAGGAGTCTGGCTTCAGGTCCCCACTGCGCTGTTTACTGTGTGACTCAGGCAGGTTACCTGTTTAGCCTCATTTTTCTCCCTTTGGACAGGGGCTCTTACCTACCTCATTGGGCTCTTGTGTGGTTTCTAAATGACATTGGCCCTCTATCTTCATGAGTTCTACATCTGGATGGATCAGAAATATCCAGGGCTGGGTGCAGTGGCCCACTACTGCAATTTCAGAACTTTGGGAGGCTGAAGTGGGAAGATCACTTGAGCTTAGGAGTTCGAGACCAGCCTGTGTGAAAGATGGTGAGACCGTGTCTCTACAAAAAAAATTTTTTAACTTTTTTAAAAAGAAAAAAAAAATCAAGGAAAAAAATACAAAAATTTTAAAATAATACAAATTTTTAAAAATACAGCATAACATTTACCTAGCATTTACAGTTTATTAGGTGTTATAGAGATGATTTAAAGTATGTGGGATGATATACACAGGTTACATGCTAATACTATGCTATTTTATCTGAGGAACTTGAGCATCTGCAGATTTTGGAATCTGTAGTGGGTCATGGAACCAACCCCTGTGGATACCAAGGGGATGACTATGTATGTGAAGTATCCAGCCCAGCACCTGATACATAGTGGGCATTCTGTAAATGGGAACCTTCAGATTTTCCCTCCTGAGTTTAACACGATGTTTTCCGCTGTAATATAGGCAGCTCTGAGATCTTTGTTTCCTCCCATTAAAACAGGACTATATCACTTAGCTCATAGGGTGGTTGTCAGATTTAAGTGAAATAGTTCTTGTGAAGGTGGTTGTAAATTATAAGAAACCAACCAAGGCTGGGCATGGTGGCTCATGCCTATAATCCAAGCATTTTGGGAAGCCAAAGTGGGAGGATCACTTGAGCTCAGGGGTTTTTGACTAGCCTGGGCAACAAAGTGAGACCTTGTCTCCAAAAAAAAAAAAAAATCCAAATGTAAGGTATTAAAATTTCATAATTTGTTCATTAATTCAACACATATTAATTGAGCACCTAGTATATGCCAGCTATACTGTGTCCTAAGAGCTAGAATAATGCAGCAGTGAATAAAATAGATTCCATTCTTACAGGGGAAGATAGATAACATACAAGTAGAAACCGATGGTATGTCATATGGTTATAAGAGCTATGGAGAAAAGGAGGGCAAGGAAGGGGAATGGAGAAGGCTAGCATGGATTAAGGATTACATTTTAAAACATGGTGCCATTTGAGCATAGTCATGAAGGAGGTTAGAAAAAAGCCCTACAGGTATCTGGGGAAGAGCGTTCTAGGCAATGGCCCCGAGGCAGGAGCGTGCTGGTGTATTAGAGGAGCAGCAAGTACTGCAGTAGCAGCTCCACTACCATGGCTGGGCAGAATGAGCAGGAGAGGTATGTGGGGACGTGGGGTCAGAGGAACACCTAGGGGAAGCAGGGGGCGTATCACATAGGGCCTTTGTGTGGGAAGTGGGAAGCTGCAAGTGAGCTTTGAGCAGTGGAGTGACATTTAACTCGTATTTCAAAAGGATCACTCGTGCCAGTGTGTTGAGAATGGATTGTTGGAGGGCCAAGGACTAAAGCCAGGAATTCAGCTAGGAGGAAACTGTGGCAGTCTTAGCGGGGGATATTTGTGGCACAGACCACAGTGTGAGCTATGGAGTTGCAAGAAGCAACTGGATTCTGAATCTGGGATTTGCTGATGGTTTGGAGGTAGATGGAGAGAACAAAGTGTCAGGGTGTTTGGCCTGAGCAGTGGGAAGATGAAGTTGCCATTTACTGTAGTGGGAAGTCTGAAATGGGAGGAGCAGGCTTGGGGGAGAAGGCTGGGAGTTTGGTTTTGAACCTGTTAACTTAGAGAGCTGTTGGGCACCTGAGTGGAGATACTGAATAGTTTTGGGCAGAGATCTGGGCAAGAGGGATGGATTTGGGCATTGTCAGTGTATAGATGTTGTTTCATCATGAGACTGGATGAGAGGCACAAGGAAACTAGTACAGTTGGGGAAGAGATGGGGTCTGCAAACCTGAGGTCAAGAGATGAAGAGGACCAAGGGAGATGGGGAGGGAACAGCCAGAGAGGGAGGAGGACAGCCAGGAGAGTTCAGAGTCTGAGAAGCCAAGTGAAGAAAAGGCTTCAAGGAGGCGGAAGTATCAGTTGGATCAAACGCTGCAGATAAGACAAATAAGATGACAACGAAGAACTGACCATTGGATTTAGCAGCTTAAGACTCATTGGTGACTTTGATGAGAGCAGTGGACAAAATTTTCTGAAAAGTGAAAATGTGTCAAGAAAAGTTTATCTTCTTCTCAATTTGGACTCTTGGAGGATGAACCCCCCCACCAAACTTCCCCCCCAACCCAGCCCCCAAGATGCAGTCTTGCTCTGTCGCCCAGGCCGGAGTGCAATGGCATGATCTTGGCTCACTGCAACCTCTGCCTACTGGGTTCAAGCGATTCTTCTGCCTCTGCCTCCTGAGGAGCTAGGATTACAGGCATGTAATCCTACACCCCCACACCCAGCTAATTTTTGTATTTTTAGTAGAAACGGGGCTTTACGATGTTGGCCAGGCTGGTCTTAAACTCCTGACCTCATGATCCGCCTGCCTTGGCCCCGCAAAGTGCTGGGATTACAGGCATGAGCCACCAGGCCTGGCTGAGGATGAGTTATTAAGCAGCCCTTTGTAAACGGAATAAACATGAGTTCTCAGCTTTTTCCATACCACCTGTGGAACCCTAGGATTCTGAGAAAATTACTTACATTTTTTTTTTAATTTTTCTTTTTTTGATACAGAGTCCCACTCTGTCATCTAGGCTAGAGTTCAATGGCGCAATCTTGGTTCACTGCAGTCTCCAACTCCCAGGTTCAAGTGATTCTCCTGCCTCAGCACCCGCCCCCTCACCCCCCCTCCCCCCCGTAGCCAGGACTACAGGTTGTAGGCCACCACACCCAGGTAATTTTTTGTATTTTTAGCAAAGATGGGGTTTCACCATCTTGGCCTGGCCTCGTGTGATCCACCTGGCTCGGCCTCCCAAAGTACTGGGGTTACAGACGTGAGCCACTGTACCTGGCCTACTTAAGTTTTTACCTGGGTTTCTGGGGAGAAGGAAGAGACCAGACAGTCCTTAACAGGATGCTGGCAGGGGGCCTCCTATCACCTTTGCAAGCCTCATTGCTGTGGCCTAGGTCAGTAGTCAGAGCAATATGCAAGTCACCCCTTCCAAACCAGGTGAGGAGTCCTGGGAGGGGAGAACCCTTGGCAAGGCCGCCCTGTGCTGCCTCTTTATTGTTCAATAGGTGGTGCTCTTCTGCCTAACTGACAACAAAATCAGGTCTCTTGCAAGGTGCTGGGGAAATTATAACCCTAAACATGAAGCGTGGCCACCCTCCACTTTGGAAGTAGTTGCATTTTGAGATTAGGCAAATGTAATGCTCTGTAGACCCCACAGTGCCCAGTTTGAATGCCACTCATAAGTAAAGATGATTTTTTTTCCTCCTCACATATACAGCGTCTGAGAGAAGAAATGGAAGAAATCACACAGCAGCAGCTGGTACACAACAAGTACTGCAAAGATCTCATGGGCTTTGGAACAAAGCCTCGTCACATTACCCCCTTCACCGGTTTCCAGGCTGTGCAGCCCCAGCAGTCAAATGCCTTGGTGGGGCTGCTGGGGTACAGCTCTCACCAAGGCCTCATGGGATTTGGGGCCTCCCCCAGCCCAGCTAAGTCCACCCTGGTGGAGAGCCGGTGTTGCAGAGACTTGATGGAGGAGAAATTTGATCAGGTAAGTGGTGAGAGGCCCTTTCCCTCTTTTCCCAAGCTCCACACCTCACCTTTCCCCTGCCAACCCTTTATCCTTCCTCTCTCAGGTGTGCCAGTGGGTGCTGAAATGCAGGAATAGCAAGAACTCGCTGATCCAAATGACAATCCTTAATTTGTTGCCCCGCTTGGCTGCATTCCGACCTTCTGCCTTCACAGGTGAGGATGTCCATGGAAGACATCATTACCCATCTCAGGGTAATTAAACAGGGAACAGGTGATTCCAAAAAACTCAAATATCTTTTCATTTGAAGCAACGCCAGTGAATCTCTGATTTCTTTGCCTCATGTCCAGTTTCAATAATATTTAGTTCAGGTTTTCCGCTAATGTCAGAGGCAGCAGACATAGGAACAATCAGAACGGGTAGGCAGAGAGGCACTTCTAAGACCAACAAGTTCACAAATAGATTTAAAACAGACCGGAGGAAGGGCAGTTTTGATGTAGCTGTCGTGCAGTATCTGTGTCAAAGCTCTGTGAGTCAGGAAGGATTTGGGGATCGTCCCGCTTCTGTCCCTGAGGTGGTCACTGAGCTGCCTCACCACTTGTGGGCAGCATGAATCCCTGGCTCCTAAAGCTGGCCCAGCTCAGATTCCAACTTCTCAGTGAAGCCTTCCTGGATTGCTCCAGCTATAAATGTCCTTTCCTTCGTCCATCATAGCCCTCAGCTGTGGAAAGGTTTGGCATTAGACCTGGGATGAACCCCACCTCCACCCTTAACCATGAGGTTTTGGACAGATTATTTGACCTACCTGGGCCTCAACTTCCTGAATTGCAGAATCAGAATAACCATCTCTGCTTCCCAAGATGAGCAGCATTAATGCCTAAGCACCAACTATAGTACCTGGCACGAAGTTAGCCCTAATAAATGGAAACCATTATATATTATCACGACCTCCTCAAGCTACTTCAAATCTGTTCTGGAAATAGGGTAGAGGTAAAAATCATAATGTTCCAGTTGCCTGTTCATACTTAATGTCCTTGTCTTACTTTCCCTACTTGCTGAGAGTAGACGCCCAGTCTTGAAAATCTCTTCCCACTTGACCATGCTGCACGTTGCCTGTGCTTAGTGACATGTTCAGGACGGCATGAGAGCCAGGAACATAAGCAGAAGGCCGGCCTGGCCCTTAGCAGACCCTGTTCCCTAGCACACAGATACTTCACGCCACCCAGCCTAGACAAACCATGGGAGAAGTGTAGCTGGTGAGGTGTTAAACATGCTGTGTGAAAGCAGTAGAACGTGTTGGGTGAGGACATGACGATTAGCCACATAAAACCACTGAGCCAGAGAGAAAGAACAAAAACCACCTGTGTTTTGTGTGTTTCTATTCTTCTGGCCTGGCACCCAGCAACTTTTCTCTTTTTTAATGACCAGAGAGGCTGCTGTTCAGTAGAGCTTTAAATGATCTTGGATTGAAAGTCTGTTGCTCAAAAGGAACTAATAACTAGGACAAATTTCATCAAAGTCTGGCACATTGTAGAAGCAGTGATCCTTGGAAGTTCAGAAGGCTGCTTAGCAGCAGGATGCAAAGGCTCAGAGGGCCCTGGATCTCTTCTTTTGATGTGGGAGTGTGTTGTTGCTGTTTTTTAAGGCTAGTCAAGGTTGTTTTATTAAATATACTAAAGTATGTCAATGACATTCAGCCTGGACACTCCCTACAGGTATATTCTTTGTTGCATAAGTACTACTTGTTTAGAGCTTGCAGTTTGGAAGTTAATGCTTGGTGTAAGCTTTAGGAATATAAAAAAATACTCCAGTAGTGGACTGGAATCTCTAGTCAGATTTCTAATCTCTCAGGATGCTAAATCTAGAAAAGAAAATTATACTCTCTTGGGTTTTTTTTTTTTTGAAACAGGGTCTTGCTGTGTCTTCCATGCTGAAGTGCAGTGATGTGATCACAGCTCACTGCAGCCATGACCTGCTGAGCTCAAATGATCCTCTCACCTCAGCCTCCCAAGTAGCTAGGAACACAAGCATGAGTCTCCACACCTGGCCGATTTTTTAAATTTATTTTTTGTAGAGATGGGATTTTATTATGTTGCCCAGTCTGGTCTTGAACTCCTGGGCTCAAGCAATTCTCCCAACTCAGCCTCCCAAAGTGCTTGGAATTACAGACTTGAGCCACAGCACCTGGGCAAGACATTACACTTTTGATTTTAGCTCATTTCCTGCTGAAATGTTATCCCCCTGGTTTTTCTTATTGATCCACTCTAATTTTAGGGTTGTATTACCTTGGTCACCTGTCTTCAAGCCCCAGCATGCCTCATTGTCATTGACCACAAGAGCTATGGGAGAAGACATTTCTCTGAGTAGATGCAGTGATGATAAGTGCTGCTTAGGAGTCTGATTTATTGTCTACATGTGGTTCTGATAGCTTTCAACATCCCTAACTTCCTAAGGGATGTGTAGTTTTGCCTTCTCTCTTATTTCATGTGTGCTTCTGGTGCCTGGACTTGGGACCAACATCAATGGAGGAGAAGAACTAGAAGAGAGGCAAGAATCAGGAAATGTCAGCCTTCAGAGGAGAAATAACACATTAGCTTAAATTGCATGAGAATCACCTCCCCATGCATACTGGCTTATGTAAACAATGAAAATATACATGTGGCTTTCCAAATTGCAGACTAAATCTTGTTCTATTAAATATGACTATCACAAAAATCTCTAGGTAATAGCAAAATGATTTCCAGACCTAAGCTGAATGGAATGGCCTGTTTATTGCAAACAGTGCTCAGTGTTATAGTCATACATTGCTTAGCGATGGGAATGCATTCTGAGAAATGTGGCCTTAGGAGAATTTGTCCTTGTGTGAACCCCACAGAATGTGTTTACATAAACCCAGATGGTATAGCCTACTCTATACCTAGCTCTGTGGTATAGCCTGTTGCTCCTGGGCTACAACTTGTACAGCATGTTACTATAATGAATACTCTGGACAACTATAAAACAACGATAGATAAATGTGTATCTAAATGTATCTAGACAAAGAAAAGCTATGCAAAAATATACTGTATTATAATCTTATGGGACCACTGTCATATATGTGGTCCACTGTTGACCCAAACACTGTTAAGTGGCATATGACTGCACTGTTGGTTTGTTTTTTATTTGTTGGAGACAGGGTCTTATTCTGTTGCCCAGGCTGGAGTGCCTGGCTTTTGGCTCCCTGCAGCCTCAAACTCCTGGGCTCAAGTGATCCTCCTCAGCCTCCCAATGTGCTGGCATTACATGCGTAAGACACTGCACCCGGCCAGTGACTGTCCTTCAGATTTCATTATAATGTAAAATTGTTTAGATGATCCTTTGTTTTTAAACAAGGTTTGACGTATATCCCTTAAGCAAGAGCGTGTAATTCTTGTGTCGAAATGTAACACTAATGGAGATAGTTACATGATACTGTTTTGGTGACCTTTTATTTTGTTTTTCAGGTTTTTTTTTTTTTTTTTTTTCTTTTTGAGACTGAGTCTGCTCTGTTGCCAGGTTGGAGTGCAGTGGCATGATCTCGGCTCATTGCAACCTCCGTCTCCTAGGTTCAAGCGATTCTCCTGCCTTGGCCTCCCAAGTAGCTGGGACTATAGGCGTCTACCAATATGCCTGGCTACTTTTTGTATTTTTAGTAGAGACGGGGTTTCACCGTGTTGGCCAGGATGGTCTCGATCTCTTGACCTTGTGATCTGCCCGCCTCAGCCTCCCAAAGGGCTGGGATTATAGACATGAGCCACTGTACACGGCGCTTTTTTTTTTTTGAGACAAGGTCCTGCTTTTTCACCCAGGCATGAGTGCAGTGCACATGATCACAACTCACTGCAGCCCCAACTATCTGGTCTCAAGTGATCCTCATGACTCAGCCTCTTGAGTAGCTGGGATTACAGGCATGCACAACCACGCCTGGCTAAATTTTTATTTTTTATTTATTTTTCTTTTTTTTTCAATTAATTCAAGAAAGAGATGTTAACAAATAATTTTTATGTTCTGCTTTCCATGTTGAAGAAAGTAAAAAAATATATAATAATTTTTATTTTTTGTAGAGATAGGATCTTGCTATGTTGCCCAGGCTGGTTTTGAACTCCTAGCCTCAAACAATCCTCCTGCTTTGGCCTCCCAAAGTGCTGGGATTACAAGCATGAGCCACTGTGCCTGGCCACTTTCTTAATTTATTCATCAACTGAATTGCTACATAGGGCCTTGACTGTTGATGTGTGGCTCTTAACCCTGACCTTGAACTATTACTTTGTCTTTTCTGTGCTCAGATACCCAGTATCTCCAAGATACCATGAACCACGTCCTAAGCTGTGTCAAGAAGGAGAAGGAACGTACAGCAGCCTTCCAAGCCCTGGGGCTACTTTCCGTGGCTGTGAGGTCCGAGTTTAAGGTCTATTTGCCTCGTGTGCTGGACATAATCCGAGCAGCCCTGCCCCCTAAGGACTTCGCCCATAAGTAAGCACCTCTGTTATGATTTCACCTTCCACTCCATTTGGTTGGAGAGGAAGGATGCTCCATCCCAGATCCACGGAGCTTAAGCTCATTTTATGCTTCATTAAACTCCAGGGTATCGCAAATCGTATGAAGAATAGCCCTTTCCATATTGAATTCCAAGCTTTTCCAAATGAAATAACATATATGTAAATATTTGGGGAGGTTGAATACCATGAGAACATGTGAGATGCCAATGCCATTTTCAGTGTTATTATTTACTGGGAATCGGCTAGCTTTGCTTTTTTTCTCTGGCTTTTAAAAGTCTTATTTTGATATAAGACCTAAAGAGAGGAATCCTTGACTGGAACTGAAGGAACCTAAGGGTCATCTTTTTCCCCATCGCTGAAGTTAAGTAAGTTATTCTATCTCTTTAAACCTTCTGGCAAATAAAATATGAGAAAAGCCCTCAGCATCCTGCCAGATGGAGAGGCCAGGGTGTCTTCGCTAAGGCAAGGGGGTCAGTGTTCTTCATCTTTCGTCTCAGGATTGTGTCTTTATACTTCCCTGTTTATTAGCAAGGATTGCTGTGGTGAATTAATATGTGCCGCTCATTCTTTTATTTGAGATGGAGTCTTGCTCTGTCACCCAGGCTGGAGTACAGTGGTGCGATCTTGGCTCACTGCAACCTCCTCCTCCTGGATCCAAGTGATCCACCCACCTCAGCTTCCCAAGTAGCTAGGATTACAGGCATGCACCACCATGCCCAGCTAATTTTTGTATTTTTTTGTAAAGATGGGGTTTCCCCATATTGGCCAGGCTAGCCTTAAAACTCCTGGCCTCAACTGATCCACCCACCTCAGCCTCCTGAGTACCTGGGACTACAGGCGTGCACCACCACGCCAAGCTAATTTTTTTTTTTTTGAGACAGGGTCTCCCTTAGTCGCCAGGCTCCAGGCTGGGGTGCAGTGATGTGCTCTTGGCTCACTGCAACTTCTGCCACCCGGGTTCAAGCAGTTCTCCTGCCTCAGCCTCCCTGGTCCCTCCTGGGACCACAGGCGTGCACCCTAATTTTTATATTTGTTAATAGAGATGGGATTTCACCATGTTGGCCAGGATGGTTTCGATTTCTTGATCTTGTGATCTGCCCACCTCAGCCTCCCAAAATGCTGGGATTACAGGTATGAGCCACTGTTCCCGGCCTAATTTTTCTATTTTTAGTAGAGACGGGGTTTCACTATGTTGGCCAGGCTGGTCTCGAACTCCTGACCTCAGGTGACCCACCCACGTCAGCCTCCTAGACTGCTGGGATTACAGGTGTGAGCCACCGTGCCTGGCCCCATTCCAAAGCCCAGCATTCTCATCATAGAATAATTTCTTTTTGTATGATGGCTGTGTGCTGCCCTCTTGCCCCTCATGAACACATTGTTCAGCTTGCTTCCTACATAAGTATCTTGGTGAGCACCACACTAACTCATATGGTATTGCTGTGTGAATTCAGAAAAAGGGCCCCTTCCTTAAGATACTTTACTGCCATCTGCTGGATTGTTGTAGAAATATACAAATCTACAATAATTGTGATGTGATGGGCCCTTTTGAACTGTGCTGTGGACAGCCTGCACACCCATGTATTGTAGCCCTGCCTGAGTAACCTGCTCTCCTTGCCCCAAAGTGATTTTGAGGTGGGACGTTAAAAAATGTCATTATGTCTCAACTAGCCACTGTCTGTTTCTCTGCAGGAGGCAGAAGGCAATGCAGGTGGATGCCACTGTCTTTACTTGCATCAGCATGCTGGCTCGAGCAATGGGGCCAGGCATCCAGCAGGATATCAAGGAGCTGCTGGAGCCCATGCTGGCAGTGGGACTAAGGTGGGTGTCAGAAACCTGAGCTTGCCCTGTATCGGAGTGAGGTTTGGTCTGCAGTGTTGGGACTGGGTTAAAAGAGGGAGGCATGGTTGTTTGCACATTCAGTTGGATGGGCAGGATAGCTTAGACAAAACACATAGGCTAGTACTGCATCCTAGTTTCATCACTAGCTAGCTATGTGATCTTGACTAAGTTATTTAATATCCCCAAGCCTCATTTTTTTTTTATCTGAAAAGTGGGTACAGTAGTAATTCCTGTTGTCTAAGGGTGCCGTGGATTCATGATACAGTCATTCTTAGGACCATGCCTGGCATATAGGAATTGTTCAATAAATATTTACAAATACTATTATTGGGCAAGTTGCTTAAGCTCCCTAAACTATAGTTCTTTTCATATGTACAATAAGGACAGTGTTCTTGATCTGCTTGCCAGAGTGTTCGTTGAGTCTTGGTCTTCTGTAGTGGCTGAATTATAGTGAGCAAGTCTTCCTGTGGCAAGAACCAGAAACTCATAGATTGTTTAGAGACCTGAGACTAAGCAAAGAGAGTTTACACATTTATTCTTATTTCATAGTATCCTTTCTACTCTAAAGAACAGAGGCCTGATCCCCTTGCTGGGAGAGAAATGCTGTTTTTTCCCAAGAACAGACTGAGTGTCATGTGCTCAGCCCTTATGTGACTGTTTCCTTCCCTTTAGCCCTGCCCTCACTGCGGTACTCTATGACCTGAGCCGTCAGATTCCACAGCTAAAGAAGGACATTCAAGACGGGCTACTGAAAATGCTGTCCCTGGTCCTTATGCACAAACCGCTCCGCCACCCAGGCATGCCCAAAGGCCTGGCCCATCAGCTGGCCTCCCCTGGGCTCACGACTCTCCCTGAGGCCAGTGATGTGGGCAGCATCACTCTTGCCCTCCGAACGCTTGGCAGCTTTGAATTTGAAGGTAAGAAATTATAGTGGCTCTTGTCAACATAGTGAGAGATGCTGGAAACTTTGGGAAAGGAATGAAGGTATCTAGGATTCCTGGATCTTGCTGGGGTCCTAGAGACAGGGTAACTGATTTTGTAGCAGCTCATCCTTCCTAGACTCTTTCCATGTATTGGCAATTCCTACTGTTTGTTTCTTTGTCCCATTCTGAGTTTTGGGCAGTTGGTTTGAGGGAAAGTACACATAGATCCAAAGAAATAATGCTTCAGAGACAGATCCCCCTCACATCCTCACTTTACTTCCTTGTAGCTGAGATGATATGTAATGTTTTAGAATGTATAAATGGGCTTTTGGGTGTTTCCATGTCTATGGCAGTATGATTTCTTTTTTCTTTTCTTTTTTTTTTTTGGAAACAAAGTATCTTTCTGTCACCTAGGCTTGTATGCAGTGGCATGATCTCAGCTCACTGCAACCTCCACCTCCTGGGTTTAAGTGATTCTCCTGCCTCAGCCTCCCAAGTAGCTGGGACTACAGGCACGTATCACCACACCCGGCTAATTTTTGTATTTTTGGTAGAGGTGGGGTTTCACCATGTTGGCCAGGCTGGTCTCGAACTCCTGACCTCAAGTGATCTGCCTGCCTCGGCTCCCCAAAACGCCGGGATTACAGCTGTGAGCCACTGTGCCCAGCTAGTGATACGATTTCTAAAAGTACTTTATTGTGTAGTTCTAAACTGCAAATAAATCCACTAATACCCCACAGAGGTATATTTCAAGAGAAAAGTTGATACTTTTGAAATTTAAGATCATGTAGGTAGTATTGGTCAAGACTGTGGGGAAACACGCACAGAAAGCCTGAAGATGCTGTCTGGAAACAGCCACCTGTGGTTTCTCTATTGCAGTTCCTCCGCTTACACTGATTCATACTTGTGATAATTTATTTCTAGTGAATAGAAAGTAGCTATGTTTAAACCCAGCCTACGTAGACTCTTTGTCTGGTATTTAGATCTGGGAACTAAAACAGGCAAGGTAAATTTGATCAAGAATTGCATTACTGTCTGAGAATGGTAGGGGTCGAGTTGGAATAAAACAGAATCATTTATTCTTTGAAGGGAATATAAAAAGGCTAGGGTTGAGAGGTATGTTTTATCTCTCCCTGCCCCCTCACAACCCCCTTTGCCTTTCTGCAGGTTGCAAGTCCACTCGTTACCCTTTAAGAGCTCTGGGTCAGTATCTTACTGATCAGTGTCTGGTTAAAAGTAGAACTAGTAGCCTCAAAATGGAAAATTCACCTAGCAAGCAGACCTGCCTGTCCACAACAGCAGTGTTTATTCTGTTTTCTCTCTGCCTTTCTATCCAGGTCACTCTCTGACCCAGTTCGTTCGCCACTGTGCAGATCATTTCCTGAACAGTGAGCACAAGGAGATCCGCATGGAGGCTGCCCGTACCTGTTCCCGCCTGCTCACACCCTCCATCCACCTCATCAGTGGCCATGCTCATGTGGTTAGCCAGACTGCAGTGCAAGTGGTGGCAGATGTGCTCAGCAAACTGCTCGTGGTTGGGATAACAGATCCTGGTAAGACTTCTGAAACAGAAGCCATCTAGGGGAGTTGAGGAGATTAGGGCAGCCGGTAGTAGCCAGTTTCATCACATGGCCTCTCCAGAGATCTTCGGTCTCAACAAGCTGATACTCAGCTGTTTCTCTGCCAAGGTGTTTAGGCGTGGCTACTCCAGCCTGTTGGTGTAAGATAATGTCTTTAACTCTTTTGTCTTTACTCCTATGAGTAGAGAAAAGAATGACAGAGGTTACATGAGAGAAAGCATCTGGAATCTTCCCACTATGCTGATAGCAGTGGAGATAGAGAAGGGCTGGAGTGATGGGGTCATGAAGAAATGTTCAAAGGCTCCATTGCTCTTGCAGACCCTGACATTCGCTATTGTGTCTTGGCGTCCCTGGATGAGCGCTTTGATGCACACCTGGCCCAGGCGGAGAACTTGCAGGCCTTGTTTGTGGCTCTGAATGACCAGGTGTTTGAGATCCGGGAGCTGGCCATCTGCACTGTGGGCCGACTCAGTAGCATGAACCCCGCCTTTGTCATGCCTTTCCTGCGCAAGATGCTCATCCAGGTAACCGGGATGATGGTCAGACCCACAGGCAGGGAGCACAGGACTCTCACTGTGAGAGCTGCTTGAGGAAGCAAGAGCTGAGGACAAGGATGGGGGAGAAAGATTGAGGTACCTGGGAAAAGTCACATTTGTCTGCAAGGGTTCACATGTTTCCCTGGCTTTATAGTGGCAATTCCAGTGCTCATCACCTCGTGAGCCTTTTGTCAGTATGAGTCCCCTCATGCACCTCTTTATTCTTCCTGGCAAGTCAGTCACCAGTGATCCCATTTCTTGGCCCTCTTTGCTTGCTGGCTCGATCTGCTGCAGATAGTGTCAGACTTCCCAGTGCCTCCCTGTCCTTCCTCTCTCCTGCTTTCCTTGTTGCTGCCAGGTCAAGCATGGAGGCCATTGTTCTTCAGAAAAATAACCAGTGTGAGACCGTTTCCACTATGTGTTCTAATAGTCATTGCCCCATTCTGTGATCCTGGCTTTCGTTCTTAAATAATATGAGAATGCCAAGCTCAGCTGCTTGGTCTGTAGCCTAAGATAGATTTAGATTGGCCTTGCTACTAGATCCGGTGGGATTTTTAATTCCTCTTGAGACATGGCTCCTGAATTTTTGTCTTCACCTACCCGAGTAAGTTCTGTGGCCTCCGGGTGCGCAATGCGTGGTCCAATCCTGCCTGGCGAAGTTATTTCCACCTTCCTCTTCTGGATCTCTCTGTGGCTCACGCACTCATTTCCAGTCCCCGTTGCTCTCTGTCTGCTTCCTGACCCTCCCTATGGTTTCTTTTGAAGTAAACACTTTTTATAACATATATGGAACTTAAACATAGAAAATCATTAATATATGTAACTCTAGAGAAATGTTGTTCACAATCTGTCATAAAGTGGCTGTAAATTATATCATCAATCAAATTAGAAAGTTGCGCTTATGTTGGCACCTCTATTTTTAGCCTAAAGATTTATTTAACTGCTGGCCTGTGTTAGAATTGCCTATCATTTTAAGTCTTTAAAAAATTCCTCAGGTTTAGGAAGGAACAGAAATCATTGTTGAAGGCCAGGCGTGGTGGTTCACGCCTGTAATCCCAGCACTTTGGGAGGCCAAGGCAGCCAGATCACCTGACCAGCCTGGCCAACACAGTAAAACCTCATCTCTACTAAAAAGAAAAAAATTAGCCAGGCGTGATGGCAGGTGTCTGTAATCCCAGCTACTCAGGAGGCTGGTGCAGGCAGAACTGCTTGAATGCAGGAGGTGGGGGTTGCAGTGGACCAAGGTTGTGCCATTATACTCCAGCCTGGGCGACAGAGCAAGACTCTGTCTCAAAAAAACAGAAATCACTGTTGAGCCTGCTAGCTCAAATCATGCTAAATGAATTTGGCATAGAAATGTCTCCTGAAAGGCTGAGTGCAGTGTCTCATGTCTGTTATCCCAGCACATTGAGAGGCCAAGGCAGGTGGATCAAATGAGCCCAAGAGTGACAAGACCAGCCTGGGGAACATGACGAACTGCGTCTCTACGAAATATACAAATATACACCAGGCTGGGTGTAGTGGTGCATACCTGTAAGTCCTAGCTACTCGGAGGCTGAGGTGGGAGGATCACTTGAGCCTGATAAGTTGTGGATACAGTGAGCCATGATCGCGTCACTGCACTCCAGCCTGAGTGACAGAGTGAGACCCTATCTCAAAAAAAAAAGAAAGAAAAAAATAAGAAATACCACCTAATGTTTGAGCACATGTATGTTCCAGGTACTTCTGGGCACTGGGAATATAGCAGTGAACAAGCCGGGCATGGCTCCAGTCTTCTTGAAGCTGACATGAAGCTATCAGGCCTTCTCATTTTTTTTTTCAATATCAAAGAGTGTAAAACTCCTTTGAATGAATTTACTATGTACTGAATTTAGCCCTTGAAACTTTACTCTTTTTCTTTTTAAACTTTGATATAGATTTTTCTAAATTGAGTTGTACATTTTCATGCCTTAGTAAAGGCTTTGGCGTTTTGTTTTGAGACAGGATCCCTCACTCTGTTGCCAAGGTTGGAGTGCAATGTGGCATCTTGTCTCACTGCAACCTCTGCCTCTTGGGCTCGAGCAATCTGCCCATCTCAGCCTCCCAAAGTGCTGAGATTACAGGCATGAGCCGGCTTTGACCTTCTCTTGAGGTCTTAGTCATCAGGGTGGGCATTGGTTATTGTTATTAGGATGCAGTGAGGCTCTTGGGCTCTGGAAGTGAACCTGGGGTTCTTTGGGTTAGCCCCCCCACTGCTGCAGCTATTTGGGCTCTGCTCCGTGAGACACATTTCTTCGCAGTCACCCATGTCTTTTTGCTGCTGCAGGTCTGTTCTCAGTATCCCCTTTCTTTTCCCTGTGGTCTGCTATGACTGGGGAAACAGGCTGTCTAGGGAATCCAGCAAATCAGGTTATTAAATCAGTAAGCTGAGACAAAATGTAATGTTAAATTGTAGACTCCTCTGGGTAGCTGAGTTAACCTGAACTCTGTGACATCTGCTTTTTTCACTGCTCAGTGACTTCCTTCTGGCAGCTTTAGCTATCCAGAAATCTGGATAGTCCATATTATGCTGTCTCTGTCACCATGAACATAATGTGCTGATTTGCTGGTGTTGTAAGGATCCAGTCAGTAAGCCTTCAGGGGATCCTACTGATGTGATCCCTACCTATTGAAGTTTATCTAGATAATGCCCTAAACAGCTATAGAATATCAACACTTCTCTCAACGTCATAGCTGTTCTAACTTTTGTTTCCTTTGCTATTATTTGTAGTCCTTAGTAATTTGCTGTCTGGACAAATATTTTTCTTCCAAGGGGCCCTCCCTTCATTCCTCATTTTTATGGGACCCTAAACTACTCACAGCTCTCCCTGTGGGTTTTCTTAGTCTTCTCTGGCTGTGCTACACTGTTAAAAGCTCTGCTTTAGAGAGGACTGTGGGACCTTGGAGTGCTGTGATGAGAGGAAAGGGGGCAGGTTTTCAAATAGTTTTTCTTCCTGTCGCAGCTGTATCTGAGGCTGTTCTGTTAGCTGTAGAGATGTCTGTTGCTCATTGAGTATCTAGCAGCTAATTCATCTGTTCTGGAGGTCTGGGTTTTTCCTCTGGTTCCCTGCCAGGTTTTCTGTTTGACACCGTCTCTCTCTAGAATGTCTTCTGCCATAGAGAACATATGAGCCTTTCTTCCCTACAGATTTTGACAGAGCTGGAGCACAGTGGGATTGGAAGAATCAAAGAGCAGAGTGCCCGCATGCTGGGGCACCTGGTCTCCAATGCCCCTAGACTCATCCGCCCCTACATGGAGCCTATTCTGAAGGTAACATAAACCGAGAGGCTGGCACCTTCTTTCTGCATTGTCTTATATCAGTTCATGTGGGGAGATGGGAGTGTTTCAGTGCTCATTAGTACACTGAACAAGGTAGATGATTTCTTGGCTCCCGTGCTTGGAGACCAAAGGGCCATATCAAGCACTTTAGGTTAAAGAATACCAAGAATCTCATCAGTCACAGGAAAGTGCTTTCCTTGTAAGAGGTAAGAGTTAATGCTTCAGGCACATCATCACAGGTGTGTGGAAAGGAGAAGCAGGTGGAGAGTAGCATAAAATAGCTCTCCCAAAATGAGAAAATGATCCTGAAAATCTGAAACAACCTTCAAATCTGAACACGTTAGTCACGTGAAGTCCTTTATAACATGTGAATCTGGATGAGCAACCACTGAGATACAATTTAGAGGAGACATGAGAAACACTTTTATGTCATGGTGCTTCCCAGCTCTATGGAGAAAAGTTTGAGAATTTACATTCCAGAGAAATCTTGGATTCACAAAGCCTAGAAGGAATTTATTTATGACTGAGATGGTCTCCTGGGTGAATTTTACTTATATAAAAGAAAGGTTTCTAGTGGAGTCTAACCTGCATTCATTTTCTCATAACTTCTTTCCCTAGGCATTAATTTTGAAACTGAAAGATCCAGACCCTGATCCAAACCCAGGTGTGATCAACAATGTCCTGGCCACAATAGGAGAATTGGCACAGGTAAAGGGACAGCTACTTTTTCTATAGGGTGAAAAGAAACTCACCTCTAAGGAAGTCAAAATACTTTTCTTTTCTTTTTTTTGAGACATTTCCACTCTATCCGGGCTGGAGTTCAGTGGTGCAATATCGGCTCACTGCAACCTCCGTCTCCCGGGTTCAAGCGATTCTTGTGCCTCAGCCTCTCAAGTAGCTGGAATTTCAGGTGTGTGCCACCACACTTGTCTAATTTTTGTATTTTTAGTAGAGATGGGGTTTGACGATGTTGGCCAGGCTGGTCTCAAACTCCTGACCTCAGGTGATCCACCCTCCTCAACCTCCCAAAGTGCTGGGATTACAGGTGTGAGTCACTGTGCCTAGCCTCAGAATACTTTTTTTTTCTTGAGACGAGGTCTCACTCTGTTGCCCAGGCTGGAGTGCAGTGGCACGATCTCGGCTCACTGCAACCTCCGCCTCCCAGGTTCAAGCAATTCTCCTGTCTCCGCCTCCTGAGTTGCTGGGATTACAGGTGTGTATCACTGCACCTGGCCCAAAATACTTCTTAATGCCATAGTTTCTAACCCCATCTACCACCCTCTTTTTCATTTTGCAGGTTAGTGGCCTGGAAATGAGAAAATGGGTTGATGAACTTTTTATTATCATCATGGACATGCTCCAGGATTCTTCTTTGTTGGCCAAAAGGCAGGTGAGTATTACTGCTTCCTGATTGAGTGAGAGACTCCATGAGGCTGGGAACCTTGTTTCTCCTTATTCTCCTCGGTGTCCTCAGTCAGTGCCTAGCACAGACCGGGACACATAGTAGGTGCTCAAAAATATTTGTTGAATGAGTTAAAAATAGAATGATTTGGAACCAGAATTACCTGTTATTTTGATCCAGAGTCAGTTTTAGTAAGTATCAAGGCTGACCAGTGCCATTTTGTCTATACAAAAGAAAATGCAGGTCAATTATCAGAGCCCCAGCTATCAGAGGGAAAAAGAAAACCCTGGCCACTGCCTTTGAGGGAACAGAGTTTCAGCTCATCCTTGCCCAGCCCTGGTTCTGCTTTCCCAGTTTGAGGCTATTAGATGACTAGACTAAAGAGCAGTTTTAATTTCTTTCTGTGCATGGTAGCTCATACCAGTAATCCTAGCACTTTGGGAGTCTGAGACAGGAAGATTGTTTGAGCTCAGGAGTTTGAGATCAGCCTGGGCATAATGAGACTTTGTCTCTACTTAAAAAAAAAATGGCTGGGCATGGTGGCACACACCTATAGTCCCAGCTACTCAAGAGGCTGCTCAGGAGGCTAAGATGGAAGAACCCAGGAGATTAAGGTTACAGTGAACTGTTATCACACCACTGCATTCCAGTCTGAAAAACTGAGGAGACCCTGTCTCAACAACAAAAAATCTTAATTTCCTTTTGAGCCTCCTGTTAATCATTTGGGATACAGAAGAATGATGTATTTTATTTTATTTTTTGAGATGGAATCTTACTCTGTCACCCAGGCTGGAGTGCATGGTGCGATCTCGGCTCACTGCAACCTCTGTCCCCCGGGTTCAAGCAATTCTCTGCCTCAGCCTCCCGAGTAGCTGGGATTTCAGGTGCCTGCTGCCACACCCGACTAATGTTTTGTATTTTTAGTAGAGACGAGGTTTCACCATCTTGGCTAGGCTGGTCTTGACCTCCTGACCTCGTGATCTACCCACCTCAGCCTCCCAAAGTGCTGGGATTATAGGTGTGATCCACTACACCTGGCCAGAGTGATGTATTTTCTTTGAGAAAGATGGGAATTTTCTTTGTCTCTTGATCCAATGATTGTTGTAGGCTTGTGTGCTTGATCAGCCTTGGTTTTATGCCCTTGCAGGATTTTTGCTCATGGTAGTATCTACTGGAAACCTCTTTTCTTCTTACAGCCTCTAACACTCCATTACAGTCATTATACAAAGAGTTCAACTATGCTTTCTTTTCTCTCATACTGGCTCAATGAACCATGTACTCTTGTGCCTATCCAGGTGGCTCTGTGGACCCTGGGACAGTTGGTGGCCAGCACTGGCTATGTGGTAGAGCCCTACAGGAAGTACCCTACTTTGCTTGAGGTGCTACTGAATTTTCTGAAGACTGAGCAGAACCAGGGTACACGCAGAGAGGTAGGGGACATGGCAGACTTGGTCTTTAAAGACTTTGCTGGGAGGATGACAAGAGAGAGAAGGTTGTTGCATTAACATGTTCTGACTGTATCAGTCAGACTTCCTGTCCCTCTCCATTTTGTTCATGTAGCTGGTCATTTGTGTGTGAATTGGGGATTCTGTAACCTGAGAGGGGTATCTGTGATACTTGTAATCATGTTGTGATAAATTTTTTCTTTTTCCCCCTCTCCTTTCCAACCCAGGCCATCCGTGTGTTAGGGCTTTTAGGGGCTTTGGATCCCTATAAGCACAAAGTGAACATTGGCATGATAGACCAGTCCCGGGATGCCTCTGCTGTCAGCCTGTCAGAATCCAAGTCAAGTCAGGATTCCTGTAAGTTGGGGGTTGTAGGGCTGAGGGCCCCACAGGGTCGTGGGGTGTCCCTTATGCTATGCTGAGGCACAGGATCCAAGAAATAAAGAGGCAGGACACAGAAGTACAAGGAAAATGCAGCTGGGCTTCGGAGGTCATGCCACCTATGAGCGGAGTCAGGCAAGGCCCCGAATGTCCAGAAGCTTATGTATTTATTGTTTATAGGTTAGGGGGCAGGGCAGTGAGTGAAGTCATCTTTAGGGATAGTCATAGAGTTGTGAGCAATAAAACAAGGGGTCCACCCCCATTAGGTCACCTAGGCTAGGAGGTGGACATTGCGCAGCAAGGGGTCCATTCCCATTAGGTCATCGAGGTAAGGGCCGTGTGCAGTTGTCCACCCCTATTAGGTCACTGAGGCATGGAGGTGGGCCGTGTGCAGTGAAGAGGGTACAGTGTACGATACCTGTCTCTATGGACAAGCTACTAAGAAGATTTATAGGAGGATGCTTTAAGTCACGCTAGTGACAGAGCTGTCAGGATTACCGCCACCTGCTGGCAGCTTCCAATGAGTTCTATAGGAAGATGCTTTTCCAGCAGCACAGTAACAAGAGCTGATAAAGTTCACAGTCACTAAGTTGCGAATATCCAGAGGGTTTTTGAGCCCTCGGATGCTCGAGGGATTGCTGGTCTGAGAGCAGCCTTCCACAAGAACTGGAGCAAGGTCCTACAACTCCTTTTTTTTTTTTTTTTGAGACGGAGTTTCACTCATGTTACCCAGCTGGAGTGCAATGGCGCGATCTCGGCTCACCGCAACCTCTGCCTCCTGGGTTCAGGCAATTCTCCTGCCTCAGCCTCCTGAGTTGCTGGGATTACAGGCACACGCCACCATGCCCAGCTAATGTTTTGTATTTTTAGTAGAGACGGGGTTTCACCGTGTTGACCAGGATGGTCTCGATCTCTTGACCTCGTGATCCACCCGCCTCGGCCTCCCAAAGTGCTGGGTTTACAGGCTTGAGCCACCGCGCCCGGCCTTACAACTCCTTTATCAGGAGGAGTGGCTCTTGCCCCAAGCCTACCATACAGGGAGTATCTTTACGATACTGAACGCTGCTGCCTGGGCCATGGATTCTTGTCCTCGTGTAGCTGTTTTCCCTTAAATCATGCTTAGCACTGTGTCTGCTCCAGACATTCCTCCTACTATAAGCTGCTTATTCCTTAATTCATGCTCTGTACTGTGTCTACTCTAGGCATTCCTCCGATTATGAACTAAGATGTCGTTATATATGTATAGGGAAATAACTGAGTGGTGAGATATTCTTTAAGTACTCATTCTAAGAACTAATATATGATTATATATAGAGGATTGTATAAAGGGAAATAACTGAGTAGTAACACTATAAACTGAGATATTCTTCAGGCCTTAATTGTGCTAGGATTCTGCTTAGCTCTCCTTCCTCGGTGTCTGTACGGGGGGTTACCCACAGAGGGCAGCCATGAAAGACTTGCCAAGTTCTCACTCACAGAGCCTTTGCTGGTTGTGTTTAGAAAGTCTGGAGCTGGAATACTGGGAAGTTATAGGATATTGGCTAATTTAGCAACTTTTGAATGAAAAGTCAGTAGTTTCTTGAATGCCAGACAGGGATGTGCTTCCCATTGTGGCCCGAGTCCTCATGCCTGTCCAGATTCTTTGTCAAGGGTTGACAGGCCAAGTCTGTCTGCTTTTTGGTGCCAATGTAAGAGATACACATTATGACCCCATCACCTCTATCTATCTCTCATTCTTTGTTAGTGCCTCTTTGATGGTTTTCATTCCCATTGTATGTATGGATGAAGAGGATAGAATTGATTCTCCCTGTTTTAATTGGTAGGGAAATTGGAGGGCAAGGCTCAGAGCTTTAGCAAAACTAGCAGCAATCAGAAATTTGGGGCTTTTTTTTTTTCTGTCAAATGGTCTGGCCCAAGAGCCACATTGCCTTTTTTTTTTTTTTTTTTTTTTTGGTGACAGAGAGTCTTATTCTGTTACCCAGGCTGGACTACAACACTGCAACCTCTGCCTTCCAGGGTCAAGTGATTCTCCTGTTTCAGCTTCCCAAGTAGCTGGGACTACAGGTGTGCGCCACCACACTCAGCTAATTTTTTTATTTTTAGAAGGGATGGGGTTTTGCCATGTTTACCTGGCTGGTCTCAAACTCCTAACCTCAAGTAATCTGCCCGCCTCAGCTTCCCAAAGTGCTGGGATTACAACAGGCATGAGCCACTGCCCCTGGACCCCTTTTTTTTTCCCTTAAGTTTTATTTTATTTTTAATTGACACAGGGAGTGGGAATAGGGAGAGGTTGGTCAGTGAGTGCAAGGTTCCAGTTAGATAGGTGGAATAATTTCTGGTGATCTGTTGTCCATTGCCTTTTATTGTTTTTACTTTGTTTTATATTTTTGGAGACAGAGTCTCATTTTGTCACTCAGGCTGAAGTACAGTGGTGTGATCTCAGCTCACTGTAGCGTTGACTTTCTGGGCTCGAGCGATTCTCCTCCTTCAACTCCCTAAGTAGCTGGGACTACAGGCGTGTGCCACCACACCTGGATAATTTTTGTAGAGGCCATTGCCTTTTGACAAGTAGCCTGAGTGAATGGGGGTAGGGTATGGCATTGCGGGACAGTTTTCTAGGCTTAACCCATATACCTTCAGGGCAGGCCTATTTCTGACATTGAAAGTTAATATTGGCTCTCCCAACTCTTCCAGGAAAATGTTATTACCCCAAAATAAATTGTTTCTAAACTCTGTAGATGGGATCATATCGCTTCAAATTTCTTCCTTTTCTGTGTATTAGAGAGGTATGCCTGTGTTGTCATTCTGTCAGACCCAAAGCTGTTGAGAGCAGGGCCTGAGCCCTGGTATTCTTCCTTATTCATGGCACCAGTCAGCCCAGCTCTTCATCTCTTTAGTTCTTACCCTCCTGGCTGCACTGTTCATGTTAGTATACTCCCTCCCTTGCTGCTGCCCCTCCCCCATCGTCAGAGTCCTTGAGGTCCTTGTTGTTCAAGTCAGGTAGGTAGTATTGGCCTACCAACTTGTCTGAGCTCCCCAGGGGGACCAAGCAGCTGCTGAACAGATGTTTGCCTAATTTAATTCCCTTGACTTTATTTTGGGGGAGTAATTATTTTTATTGATGGCTTCAGCTATGAAGTTGTGAACAGTAAGAAGCTAAATTAAACAGAGCAATTTAAAGAAAACCAATCCATCGTGTACTGTTTTAGGCTTTTGTGGTTTGAGTAATAGAAAAGCCAAAAACTGTTTAGTCCTTCATGGTAAGAGGCTATTCATTGGTTCCTAATCGACCTTGAATTCCCAACAGTGTTAGAACATACTAGGAAGAAAGATACGAATGCTAATGTCTGTTAGGAGGTTGTTTGTTAGTAACCATGCTCTGCCTAAAGTCACGTTGTGCCATGTGTAGCTCTAATGCTCTGTGTTGTTTTGTCCTAGCTGACTATAGCACTAGTGAAATGCTGGTCAACATGGGAAACCTACCTCTGGATGAGTTCTACCCAGCCGTGTCCATGGTGGCCCTGATGCGGATCTTCCGAGACCAGTCACTCTCTCACCATCACACCATGGTTGTCCAGGCTATCACCTTCATCTTCAAGTCCCTGGGACTCAAATGTGTGCAGTTCCTGCCCCAGGTCATGCCCACGTTCCTTAATGTCATTCGGGTCTGTGATGGAGCCATCCGGGAAGTAAGTACCTCAAACCCCAGTCCTTCTTGTTGCTGCTCTGTACCACACATGCACAGATCCATCTGTGCTTCAGCTTCTTAATCATGCATTCTGTGTGCTCTTGAGCCTAATGCCTTCCTCCCCTTAACTCATTTATGTAAGTGTACGATTGGCTCACTCCATTGTCCTGGCTTATCTGCTTAACATGAATAAAAGGGCCGGGGCATGGTGGCTCACACCTGTAATCCCAGCACTTTTGGGGGCCGAGGCAGGCGGATCACCTGAGGTCAGGAGTTCGAGACCAGCCTGGCCAACATGGTAAAACCTTGTCTCTACTAAAAACATAAAAATTAGCTGTGCTTCGTGGTGCACGTTTATAATCCCAGCTACTTGGGAGGCTGAGAGAGGAGAATTGCTTGAACTCGGGAGGTGGAGTTTGCAGTGAGCTGAGATTGTGCCCCTGCACTCCAGTTTGAAGGACAGAGCAAGACTCTCTCAAGAAAAAAAACAAAACATGGCTAAAAGGTGAATGGCCTGGGAGAGGAATAGCATTGTCATTCTCAGTAGTCTAGAGTTCAGTCCATTTGAAGATGCCCCACAAATACAAAACCAGCCTGGATTTCTGATTGCTCCTTCATGGTAAGATTTAAGTCATAACATTTTTAGTGAAAATACTCCACAGGTGAAGTTCATGCTTTTTACTGGATCTCATACTGCCGCCAGTTGGTGCCATTACTGTTGATCTTCAGTGTGAGCCTGTGGCCAAGTGAGTGTTTATCCGATCTCTCCATTGCAAGGTTATCTGTTTTCGTTTGCCATTAGTGAGTAATTTGTGGGGTGGCAGTTTGAGACTCCTTGGCTGTCCTGTTCCTCAGCTACCTTCCATCCAGTAATTTTGTTTTTCTTTTTGAGATGGAGTATCCCTCTGTCACCCAGGCTGGAGTGCAGTGGTGCGATCTCACTGCAACCTCTGCCTCCCGGATTTAAGCAATTCTCCATCTCAGCCTCCCGAGTAGCTAGGATTACAGGCATGCGCCACAACACCAGGCTAATTTTTTGTATTTTTGGTAGAGACAGGATTTCACCATCTTGGCCAGGCTAGTCTCAAACTCCTGACCTCATGATCCACCCACCTTGGCCTCCCAAAGTGCTGGGATTACAGGCTTGAGCCACTTTACCTGGCCTAATTTTTTTTTTTTTTTTTTTTTTTTGAATTTCCATCCAATGATTTTAGCATCCATTGATAATCCTCACTTGAATTGGTTATCACACTGGTAGTTGTAAAGTGATGACTTTCTAATTTTGTCATTCCTTCTCTATTTTATTAACTGGCATTTTTCTGTAAAGGGGAATTTTCCCCTCCCCCACCTCTCACTCTTACTGTTTCTGGTGCCTTTCTCTAAACCATAGAGTATGCAAAATAGTTCCGAGATTGTATGCCCATACTACAACCAACTTTCTGAGTAAAGTTCAGGGTAGGCTTTGTAGTTCCTGTTATTCTTAGAATACATTCTATTAAAGGTATACAGTCAGAGTACTGTGCTTAAAAAATAATTCAATTAGTTACTTTTCCCTCTGATCATATTGTCAACATGATGTATATTTAGAGGAGATAGCATGTTTTTAGAAATTATGTTTCCTAACTTTATGTCTGGAGTATAGACATACCGTTTATTTGTTTCTATTGTATTTATAACTATCAACTTCACTGAATTATTTTGTGTGTGTGTGTGTGTGTGTGTGTGTGTGTGTGTGTGTGAGGAAGTCTCACTTTGTTGTGCAGGCTGGAGTACAGTGGCGTGATCTCAGCTCACTGCAGCTTCTGCCTCCCATGTTCAAGCAATTCTCCTGCTTCAGCCTCCCTAGTAGCTGGGATTATAGGTGTGCACCACTGTGCCCGGCTAATGTTTGTATTTTTAGTAGAGATGGGGTTTCACCTTGTTTGCCAGGCTGATCTTGAATTTCTGACCTCAGGTGATTCACCTGCCTCAGCCTCCCAAAGTGCTGGGATTATAGGCGTGAGCCACCACACCTGGCCAAAATTCTTATTAACTCTAATAATTTACCTGTAAATACTCCCAGGCTTTCACTCTGTATAATTATATAGTCTGGGGGGTGGGGAAGAAGGAAAAATAAAAAAGGGGAGTTTTGTTTTTTATTTTTAATCTTATAAAAGGTTACATTTCATATAATTGGTGTCATAGAATATGTGGTCTTTTGTGTTTGGCTTCTTTCACTTAATACTTTGGAGGTTCTTCCATATTGTGGCATGGATCAGTAGTTCATTCCTCCTTTATTGCTCAATAATGATGTAGTATTTTCATTATTGTTCAGAAATATTTTCCAGTGTTATGATTTCTTCTTTTACCCTTGAGTTATTTAGAAGTGGGTATTTTATTTGCAAACTTACAGGGTTTTTAATTTCTCTTTTTGATATTGATTTCTAACTTAATTGCATTGTGTTTATGATTCTTTCATGCTTGCTGGATCTGCTTTAATAGTCTGGTGCTTGCTCGATTTTCATAAGTATTTCCTATATGCCTGGGATTTCTTGTGTATTTGCTAATGTTACACAGGGTTCTACAGAAGTCATTAGATTGAACTTATTAGTGATTGTGTTCACCTCTTTTGTGTCCTTGTTAATTTTTGTTTGTTTGATCTATGAATACTGAGAGAAATGAGACAAAAGTCTCCTTTTATAATGGTGGGCTTATTTCTGATAGTTTAGCCAATCTTATGTATTTTTGAAATTATGTTATTAGATGCATACACATTTTAAGTCTTGATATCTTCCTGGTAAGTTGACCCTTTATCATTATGCAGTAATCCTTCTTATCTTTAATAATACCTTATAATTTATTTTGCTTAACTTTAATATAGCTATACCAGCTTTTTCGGAGGTGTATGTCTTTTCCAATTCTTTTAACTGTCTTGTGACTTTTTGTTTTGGATGCTCTCTTGTAATTATAGCTAGATTATCTTTTTAATCCAGTTTTAAAAGTTTGTCTTTTTTTTTGAGACAGAGTCTCCCTCTGTCGCCCAGACTGTAGTGCAGTGGCACAATCTTGGCTCACTGCAGCCTCCGCCTCCTGGGTTCAAGCAGTTCTCCTGCCTCAGCGTCCTGAGTAGCTGGGACTACAGGTGTGCGCCATCACACCCAGCTAATTTTTTTGTATTTTTAGTAGAGACAGGGTTTCACCATGTTGACCAGGATGGTCTCAGTCTCCTGACCTTGTGATCCGTCTGCCTCAGTCTCCCAAAGTGCTGGGATTACAGGTGTAAGCCTCCGCACCTGGCCAAAAATATTTGTCTTTTAACCAGTGCATTCTGGACCAATTGCATTTATTGTGATTGCCGATATATTTGGGTTGTTTGTTGCGGTGTTTTTTTTTTTTTTTTTTTTTAATGGAGAATCTCTCATTGTTGCCAAGCTGCGGTACAGTGGTGCGATCTCAGCTCACTGTAACCTCCACCTCCAGTTTCAAGTGATTCTCCAGCCTCAGCCTCCCAGGTAGCTGGGATTACAGGTGCATGCTACCATGCCCAGCTAATTTTGTATTTTTAGTAGCTGTTTGATTTCACCATGTTGGCCAGGCTGGTCTCGAACTCCTGACCTCAAGTGATCCACTCACCTTGGTCTTCCAAAGTGCTGGGATTACAGGCGTGAGCCACCACACCTGGCCATATTTGGGTTTATTTCCACCTTCTTACTTAGTGCTTTCTTTTTGTCCTGCTTTGTCTGTTTGTTTATCTTTCTTTTCTTTTTCTGGATTTGAGTCTTTATTTTTTATCTTTTGCCTTCACTCATTGGCCACCTTTAATTTTTCTTTTTTTTTTTTTTTTTTTTTTTT